AGCTCGACAACCACAACAGAGGCTCCATCGACGAGTATGTGCTGGCTGGGACTTACCTTTCTCTCTCTCTCTCTCTCTCTCTCTCTCTCTCTCTCTCTCTGGCTATCTTTCTCTCACACTCTCTTTGTCGCGCGCGCGCTTCATCTTGATTCCTTAAAGTATATATTCCGCTCTCCTCGGGAATTCCGATGCGTACGAACCTTGTGCCGCGACGATTTTTGCTGAATTTTTCAGCCACCTCGACATACTACTTGTCAAGCCGCGATTTTGAATTTCCCGCGCTCCACTGCTCGCTCTCTTACGCCAGTCAAGCTGCATCGAAAGTTTGATTTTAACACTCGTTTGAACGTGATTTATCGGAGATCACAATTACGTATGAAATCATTAAACAGACTTTTTCAGAGTTGTGGCAGGGGGGAGGGGGTATATAGTGGTATTATCCGAATGGAATATAAAATAGCATTTCATTAAAAAAACTATAAAAAAAAAAAAAAAAAAACTGCATTTCAATAGTGTGTTACATGCAGCAATAATGTGTTACATTATTATGATTGTTCGTCTAATTGTATTTTTCAGTCTATATTTTGTTTTATAAAACAAGTTCGGTGAATCTTTACACCGAAGAAATGACATAAGTGTATTAAAGTGTTCTGTGCATGAAAAAAACATTGCTATGTTATTTTGTCGTTCAATTTAATTTAAATTAAATATTCCGGCCATGTGTCTGTCATTGAAACAATTGAATACCAAGAAAGAATTACACATGTGAAACGAAATAATTAAAAACCTAATAATAACATTGAAAAGAAAAGGATAAATCCTAATTTATATGTATATATATATATATATATATATATATATATATACTGTATTACTGTTTGTAAACAAAATAATTTTTTTAACGTGCTCATTCATATAACACTTTTTATTTAATTACGTTTTTAACGTTTGTCGTGGAATGACTTAAAAACACTTGAATTTAAATATTCTCTTCATTTCCATTTAATAAATTGGAATTATAAAATGATAGCGAATACAACAAATTATAAATTCGAATCAAAATTTGTAATTGCAATCTAGTCAATATTACATGATTTTTTTTTAATGCATTTATGTAACGTAATTAGGAAAATTTTATAAATTTGAAATGTTATAAAAAAAGTTTAAGTGTCCATTTCGATTCCCGAGGTGCGCGGCTTTCCCAAAATACATCCTCTTATGTATGATTTTCACCACCTTATTATCTAAATCTAAACATAAAATTATGAAATGAAATTTTTTAATCCATGTAATTGTGAAGGTAATATTTTGTAAATCGGGAAATTTATTATAAATTTGCCTAAATTACTCTTTTAACATCAAAAAAACATGCGCTCAGCCAGCACATACAACAGCACTCAACTAAGGTACATAGCTCAAGACAACAATTAAACGACATTTGTTACTTGTATACCTAGTAACGATTTGCCCATATTTTATTATTTAATTATAAATTTAATTTTTTCCGACGCTCTACCGTAACGATGTACAATATATATTCGAAAAATTTGTATGAAATGATTGCATCTTGATTTAATGTAATGGTACTGAATTCTTTCAAAGCGAACGACATGTAATTTTTACATAAGAATTGCGATTATTTTGTATAATTGCCACCGTAGATTGTCGCGAAAAGATCAAAGATTATGAAAGATATAATATTTAGCTATTAATGATCGTAACATCTTCAATAATAATTTAGATAATAAAAATAGTTGCGAGATCGAACACATTACTTATATACCACTGATAATTGATCGATAAGCCTTCCTATCGTTATAATTAATCATGTGGGCAAAAAATTTGTTCCTTCCAACATTAAATTTAACTTTAAGCGCGATTTTATGATTTAAACCATTACGTATATAAACACATGTACAATCTTTTTAATCTTATTCATTACTCCCAGAATTATACTTTAAACCAAGTACTTCATTCAGACACAATTTACATATATCCGTCTCGAACGACAATACTGTTGTCCTAAGCCAAATTTTCATTGGTATTTGGAAAGTTACGTTAACCTGGCTAAATATTTATTTCGTGCCAACAGAATTTTCTTTGTGCCAAAAAACATTGTTTTATATGATGCGACATAAATTGTGTTGGAGCGTAATCAGCCAAATTGCAATTAATTTTCCCCGTTCTTTTTTGTTTTGTTTTGTTTCTCTTTTCGTTACATTTGTCCAAGCAAAATGAAATGACTACTGGATGTTAAATTGTAAACGATGTTTAACATGTAATTTTTCCTTTTAGTTAATTTTCAGTGGCGAGTATACGAAGGCAATGAACAAGGATTGGCACAGCGGTCACTTTTGTTGCTGGCAATGCGATGAGTCGCTGACGGGTCAGCGATATGTCCTAAGAGACGAACATCCCTACTGTATCAAATGTTATGAGAGTGTATTTGCTAACGGATGCGAGGAATGCCACAAAATTATCGGCATTGACTCTAAGGTAAGCTAATTTACTTTTAACCTTCCGAGAAAAAGCGACAAAACACATCACACCGACGTAATAATAACGCGCCAACGACACTTTGTTCAATTCCATATTGGATTTGAACAATTGGCATTAACGACTAAGTAGCAATGTATTGCGGTACCATTACACACACACACACACGCACACACACCCACACCCACACACACGTATATATATATATATATATATATATATATATATATATATCCTGGTATCTTCAATTTCTCGTCAATCAATATCAAACTTCGCGCATTACCGATAATTATACGATAACACTACCTAAATTTCTGCTCTACCCTTACATTATTATTATTATTATTATTTATAATGGGGATGGAAAAATTATTTAAGTCAAATTTCTCTTAAAAAAAAAAAAAAAAAAAAAAAAAAAAAAAAAATAACGAAGCTAACGTCAAATCATTCCTATTACTCGTCGGACTTTAAAACACGAGCATCGAGTATAAATTAATCGAATCGCAATGAAAGGGAGACACGACCACACGATTGTTTATTATTGCTGGCTTGCATCTTAAATATCAATAAACGCCGGGATGGCCATTGGCAAAGTTACGGTCGCGCTGGTATTTCTATCCGGCGTTGAATTTACGACTGCCTGTCTCAATTTTCTCTCACACGCGTTCTCTTCCCCCGATTCTCGAATGGTAAAGCAGCTCAAATTACAAAACCAAGAATAGCGATATCCGCGTGGCTCGCGCGGCATCACTGCTACCAACTATTCTCGACTATACGTTCTCCGGCTTTCCCTA